AATATTCAGTTTTGTAGTTGTGAATTTTATGGTAGCAATCCAGAAGAGGATTCATAATAGCCTTGGGAAAAGATATGAATCTTCTTCTTCTCCCCGCCCAAGCTATGGGTAAATAGCAGGACAGACCGGATTATATAGCTTTGGATGGCAACTGGTCTACCGCAGAAAGAAATGGCAACCTACTGCGGGGAAAAATCTGCCTCGTCAGTCATGTACCGAAAGCTACATGATCGCCTAAGCGTATATTACGCATGACACATAACTGACTGAATCCGGTAGTTAGTAAGTGGCGAAATAGAAAAATTAACATTAAAATTTATGACAACAAACATTAATATATCGTCAACTACAAAAAAATATCCGTATTTATTTTGGAACTGTATTGTTACAGAACAGAATGACAAATCTTCTTTTGGCCACTTCTTTTTTTTTAATTTCATATCTCTGGGGAGTTCTAGACACAGGAAAAAAATGTTAAGAAACTTATTTGCTGATGAAAATCCGTTAATACCTTTTTGAAGGACAACAATGAAATTGCATCCAACCCAATAGGTTTTGTCCAAAAAATCTTCAGAGAATATTTATGAAACATACTTCCTGCAAAATTGGTTCGCATGGTTATAAGCCTAAATTAATATGTCGCATGTTTTGAAAAACCGATGCATCAAATTAGATTTCCATATTCTTACTGAAAATCCGTCATATTTGTAAGTGGGCTGTAAACAGTTCAAAGAAAATTCTTGGTTATGCAATCTTCATATTTTGCTCCTGTTTGAAAACTGAGCAAATATTGACTCATTTGAAAAGGTGAATATTGTAGCAATGCTCATCTCAATTTCCCACTGCATTTTATGTTGATATGATTTTTTCTCGCTGCTCTGTCATCGTATCTCATGAGATAAGGTTAAAGACACCATTACGAACCTGTTTTCTTTACATTTTTACCACATTTGCCATTTTACTATGAGGATTTTATTTACATTTCCAGACTCATCGCAAAATGATTTCTTTTTTTATGGCAGTGGTTGAACGAAATACAGTTTCTATCATTTTGCATAATCAGTTTAGCTTAAAGCAGATTTCCTTATTTTGATATGTGACGCCAAGTCATTCTATTTTTTTTAATTGATTTACAATACATTCTGTTTTAAAAATCCATCAGTTCTCTCACTTCTGTAGTATAAGATATTGTGACATTATTGTGTGATTATTTCCTTTCACTCCGTTTTAAAATCATAGCATTTAAAATAATGAGTAATAAATTTTAGATCTGTGTCAAATAATAATATCTATTTACTTATGAAGTAGGCTGCTGCATGCGATTTTTGGATTATTATCAATTTTTTTGGTATGTATAAATATGTGTTATTAAATAATTAATTATAAAACTATTTTAATCGATAATGAAATTCTTAAGTCATTTATCGAAATGTTGAAGATGTTACCATCATAAGATAAATGCATCTCTTCTGCTGCATTTCTAGTTTGATAGTTTTCTAATCTTGAGATTTAAAAATACAAATTCTGATCATCAGCAGTTTTAGTAATCACCATATCATTTACACAAAACGTCAGTTTTTAACACCACACTATATTGCTGTTAAAGTTAAATAGGTCGAGTGGATATGTAACACGCAATGATTATTGATATTATAGCCATCTCAGTCATTCAAATGCTATCAGAACTTCAGACTACACGTCTCACAATATTTTCATTAATCTGATTATTTAACTAGACAGTCATAAGCCATAATTCGATCCTGGAGGTAATCGGTCAAGGTATTACAAGTGTATATCAAAAGGCCTGTTAAGTCTGCTATGCAGTTTAAGTCTTGGGTCTATGACACGATGGAGATTTTCCATTCTGCATGAGTAAGCAGTTAAATGACATTAATAGAACATAAAAACATGCATTTTCATGACCGGTTCGTTGAAAGTTACTTGTCATAAAAGCTAAAAGACTAATTTGTATACGCGAACACACACACACACACACACACACACACACACACACACACACACACACACACACACACACACACACACACACACACACACACACACACACACTCTTTCTCTCTCGTTCATATTTATACTTAAAAGTCTTTTCGACTTATACTCACAAGTATACAGTATCAGCGTATTGTGAGATTATTACAGATTCCCAAGCCTCTTCCAGTCAAAAAGACTCCACGGACTTTGGAAAAAAAGAAGAGCATGAAAGAAGAGAAAACGAAAAGATACCAAATGAAACACAACCTGAAAAAAGTGTGGATGTAATCGAGTAAGATAGAAAAGGGGTTGAACGAAAAAAAAAAGAGGAAAATATTGGTTCAAATCATGGCCCTGTGAAAAATAGAAATTAATCGTTTATGCAGAAGCAAATCTCTATTGCAGAAGAAACGATATTGTAGAAATAGTAATAATGGAAACATTAAATAAACTATTAAAAGCTACAAAAGAATGTACAGAAGAAAGTAAGGAAAAGAAATTTTGAAGTGTTATTTAAAACGGGAAACTATTTTTTCATACATAAAATAGTTTAAAAATCAATGCAATAAAAATAAAGTTTTACTCAGAGTTAAATTTGTGATATATTTGTGATTTGTTTCACTTATGCACAACTATAAACGATTGCGTCCGTTTTACAGACGAGCAAAATTCTGATAATTATTAAATCTAAAACATCAAATAATACTTCAAACCGTTAATGAATGAATATTTGGTAAATTGGCATCATTTTTTTCTTTGTATTGTGATTCATTATTTATTTCTGTTCAAGTCTGAGAGAAAAGGGACCAAGAGAGAAGGGCGAAGTCGAGAAGCTTATAAATTATTTTATCAATGACTTTTCTGTAAAGTCTGACCTCATTCTGCACATATTGTTCTCATTCTTTAAACAAACGTCTATTCGCCATCACACATTTAAATGCCATTTTAGCTAAATCAAAAAATAGCACTGACCGCTTTCAATCACCGGGAACAGAAGAAACAGACAACTTCCTCCATGATGATCTATTGGCGGTGGCACTCAGGAGTTCAGGCATTATTATGTCCATTCATTTTTATATTTTCTGACCAGTTCTTGCATGGCCGTGCCCGCTTGTGTCCGACTTCAATAGTGCCTTGCATGATGATCTTACAGAATCTGTTATGCGCGGGTGACGTGGCCAAACCGTGTCATCTTCCGACGCTTAATAGTGGCAAGAAGAGATTCTCGTCGGTACACACGGCTCTTTTGATCTTGCCACATAGTCATTAGTTTTGTGCGCCCAGTAGAAGATGCGGAGAAGCTTTTTCAAGCATTTGTTCTTGAACGCCTGGATCCTATTTCCTGCCTCAACCAGGAGTGTCCAAGTTTCACCCTCGCAGAGAAGGATGGATATGACCAGCGATTAGTAGAGCTTGAACTTGGTATGGAAGCTGATGTAGCACTTCCATATCCTTTCCAGTTTGGCCATCGCTGCTGTATGTGTGGCGATCCGTGTGCAGATTTCTGCGTTGCAGGTGCCATCTTTTGACAGGAGTGCTCCCAAGTATTAGAAGCTGGACACTTCCTCCAGTGGTTCACCGTCCATGGTGACGATGGGACTGGTGTTGCTTGTACTATTCACCATTACTTTGGATTTGATACATACTTTTTTAAATGCCTATTCAGGAAATATGGCGTTTAAATCTCTCCGCAGCTAATTTTGGAACTGATTTTACTTCTTAGCAAATACAATGGGATCGTTTCTCGCTGCTTTCTCGTCTTTTTTTAATTAAATTTTCCTTCTTCTAGATAATACCTGAACAAAGATGAAGAATTAGCAATTCAGACATTTCAGATAGCTGCATACTTTCCAGACAGTCTGTGGAATCGTCAGATTTTCTTCATGTTTGTGACTGACAGGGCGAAAATTATTTTGCATTATCAGTTACAGACATGATCGAGTCTTTTGCTTGTTGAAGGCCTTCCAGAACACGGATCACTTTCAATAGATTCATGATCAGGCTCGAATAGTCAATGCCAAAATTGTATCAGAGCTTCAGCCACAGAATCCTCTGAAATTTGTCCATCCGTGAATATTCAATTTTCAAAAAACCACATACATATTCGTTGTGAATACAATAATCAAACAGTAGAAGGGATCAATCATTGATAACTCGTTGTCGAGTGAGTAACACTTCGGCAAATTTTATGTTTATGCATGCGCATTACGGTCCCCTATGATTGTTTCCCAACTTTCATCCAATCTGTGTAAATGGTTTTCAAAATATTTAAAAGAGCTGCTTATTTTCTGACAGACATCGCATATTTTTCAAAATTTAATTGTTTGCCTTCATTCATTTCTTAAAAAGTAGAAACTTTCAAATGATTCGAATTCGCTTCGCCGTGCAAGAAAAGCAGAATAATGATGATTCGAAATATTTGAATAATAAACTGATGACTATGACAAACATTAGGATAAAATATTTTCTACTGCAATTAAGATGACAAGACATAGAAAAGGTTTTGCATTTGTACAAAACCTTTATTGTTAGAGAAGAGCAAAAACAAGTATCAAGCTAACCTCTAGTTCTGTGTCAGTAATTTAAGATATCTAAAAAATGAAGTGTAAATATTTGATCGCATTAAATTAACTTATACGGAAATGAACTGAATTATTGACAGGAAGCAAATTTTTCTGATTAAATGACATTCAAACTAAAGTAAAAGATAAGTTTCCTGTGAAAATATTTTTCACGATTAAATCAAATATCATCAGTTAAAACGTTCATTGTAACTTTTAAGGATGATTCTAAATGTATTTTGATTTTTTTTTCTTGTGGTAATCGGTATTTATATTTGTGTATATAACAGGTTGGGGTTTGTAAACTGAACTCTTTTAGGAAGGCTTCAGGTCACAGTTTTATCTTTTGCTTGCTGCTTCTCACTAGGTTTTCATTTGTCCGTAGTCGTCCTTGTAGCAAAACAAACACGTGTAATTGCGCCTCTATTTAATATATGTATATATATATTAGAGAGAGAGAGAGAGAGAGAGAGAGAGAGAGAGAGAGAGAGAGAGAGAGAGAGAGACTTTTTATATTTGATTATTGATAACTGAAAGACTCATATTAAACTTCTATCATAGTTCATTAATTGAACAACAAAAATGTCCGTCTCTTAAGCAGAAAATGACGTACGAAGCTAAATGATGATTATTCTGAATTTTTTAAGCAAACATGCTCAAAATATGCGTACAACCTAATTATTTCTCATGGTAAATAGTGTATTAATAAAGAGTGCATTTATAGTTAATGAAAATTTAGATGACAATGAGAAATAACCGAATATAAGATACTCACTTTATTTCTGGTATTTTTTATCATGTTTGAGAAACTTACTCTTGCACTTTCGTGTTGAGCTAATTTCGTGTTGTAAAACGGCATTTACCACACATTGCTTTTTGGTTGAACCAATTTTGATACCACAATTGAATCTCAGAGATGTCCGCATAGAACTATGCTCATCCTCTACGGCGGTTGGATCCGTTGAAGAAAAAAATGAAGCGAAAATGCAAGAAGTTTATTTTAAGAGACATCCGGGAACGCATTATTTGATACACTGTTAGCATGTTTTTTTTCCAGCTGTATGAGATCCAAGAAAATTCTGTACAACATGTGGCCAGGTCATGTGAATACTAATGTGCTATAAATATAACAGTATAATAATTACCTGCAACTTGAGTATATAAGGCGCATATATCGAAAACATGATTTGTTGTAATAATTCTGAGCGAAAATTTGGTATCAACCTGACCGATATAGTTGGGTATAGCTCTATGTGGATAGTAAACAAAACGTTGTTTTTTTTTTCTTTCTTTTTGTCCAGTGTTATTAAGACAATCTCTTACCAATCGTACGCATGCATATAGCGCAAACGCCTGACGTGCAAGAACGTTTGAGTGTGGCTATGGAATCATAACCTTTCACACCAATAGCAAACGTTTGTTGTCCAGTGTTATGATTAATGTCAAAAAAATGTGCGCAGCGTTTTGCTATAGAAGTATTATAGTGAAAGGACTCTTGACGCGTGCCAGGTTCAGGGAAAGAGCCAAGATAAAAATAGTCTTGGCAAACGAAAAACAGCTTTTCTCTTACTAGTGGCCTCATGCCAGCTCTCTTGTATGATTGAATAAATATTTTTCACTATGCGCTATTAGGCTCTTCTTCAAATGGACGCACTTTTCTATACATTCACAGATCCGTACATGCTTATTGACATAAACATTACTTTATATGACGACGCGCATAGGGTGATAGATTTTGAAGAACACTTTTGTTGGCTAGCAATTCAGAATATATTCATTTTGTTGAAAAGAAGTAACCGTTAACAAATTATCATGAATGAATTATCATTATATTATCATTATTTTATCATTATATTATCATTATATTTATAAAGTAGAACCCGGTTGTAGTTTTCACGGTTATTCATCAGCGTTAAGTGACAACCATTTCGCCAGCAGTTAACATCTATATAGAACAGAGTTTATAGTTTTGATTTAAACTACACCTAATGAATTCTTTGATGACTACGAGAGGAGAATGAAAAATACTCGGTCAAATAAAGAAACCATATGGCCAAATTTTAGCAAGTGTGTCGGGCCGATAACTTTTCAGCACTTTGTTGCATTAATTGATTTTATACCTTTTAACCATTGGCTGGTACTGTGGACATAATTAGAACATGATCTTGTAAGAAGTCATTTCCAGACTTGTTAAGAATAGAAGCATAAATTAGCGGATATGAACTACGGAAAGTGCATCCATGCAAATTCATTTAAACATTTAATTTCCGTATCCGAAAACAGTATCTTTACAAACATTTCTATTGTTTATTTACTCTATTTACATTGTTCGGACTGTTGTCCTCATCTTCGTTGCCATATTCACGACGTTTCGGTTGTTGTACGCTCCGGCCTTCTTCAGGTGATTGGAATTTCGAATTGAATCCTTTATTTCGTCCACCGAATAGTCTACTTACGATTCACATACCAGCCTCTATGTTGTAAATGAAGACCATTCCTGAAAAGTTTTTCGCTACTAATTCTTTTTTTATTAAACTGAATCTCTTACACAAATCAATTAGAAGATCCACAAAACTTTTCGATTTTTAATGATTGTTTTAATCTAGAAATCATCTTTCATACATTTTTGTTCTTATTAAAATCAGCCGTCATTCAGGTTGCATTCGGTTTTGTTTCATTACATTTCGCTATATATAATGAAAAAACGATCGTGTTTATATATATATATATATATATATATATATATATATAATGTATGCTATTTATTATATATACACTTTTCTTCTATTTGATTATTATATTTTAATACGCGGAACGCTCTGAAAGTAATTTTTCCTATTAGTTTCAATGGAAATTGCAACAGATGTAAGGAGCCCAAATAACATCGTTGTTGAATAGAGAAAGTCACACAAAGTCGCCACCACAAACGTTGCATTTTTGCGACGCTTCTTTTTACATCCACTGTACTCACATCCAGTGTTTCATCTCCGTAGATGTACAGCAAGTGTCAAGGAATGTCAATGAGATAACTTTTTCTGTATGGTGGAATTTAATGACATATTTCTATTTCATAAGCTCAGCTGCAATTAGTAACAAGCCAAACAAAAATGGGTTCTTGATAGGACACGTTTATTGCCATACCTTCAGCATTAGTCTCTTATCTTGAGAGGTAGCATAGTAAAATAGGTGACATTAGTTTCGGAGCCTTCAGCGTATTTATTTTATTGCTGAACTTAAATTATAAATTTATATGTGTTCATTAATGTTGACTGTTAAAATATACAGAAATACAAATGAATGAATACAAAATTAAATGAATCATTCAACATTGATTAGAGTAAATACAAATTCGGCTTAAAAAAAAGCTGACGCCAATTGAGAACAAAAATGTGATAGGACATCATTGTATATTCATGTCGATAAGACCATATAACAGTTGCATAGACCAGCAAAACGTTTTGTGAACATGATGGCTATAACAAAATCTATCGTAATTATGTCAAAACAAATTTAGTTAAGTCAAGACAGTACGTAGTTGCAGAAAGAAATATAAACTACTTTCTTAATAAGTCATTATAATCATTTTTGTAAACTGTTTGGTATAGTTCGGCCTGTTCCTACTAATACATACATATATATATATATATATATATATATATATATATATATATATATATATATATATATATATATATATATATATATATATATATTGAACAGTAAGAAAATAAAAAATTAAAAAAAATTAAAATCATTAGACACACTGGGTTGTAGATTAATATTCTTTCGTTTTTTTTATTATTATTATTCCATTTAGATTCCTCGACTAGTTTCGACCGAAATGGCCATCATCGGGAGGAGAAATATTTCTGCTTGCTGTTGGCAGTGAACTACAGAAATGAATGTCTTTTGTTGGAGAAAATGAACTTTTTGTCTGTAGTTTTCATTTGTTTTTTATTTTTTATCTTTTTCACATGAATCTTTTAACATTCCTTGTGTTGGTCAAACAGTCTCTTTTAAGTTGTTATTTGAGATAAGAACTGGATAGATACATTTTATCTTGAATTCTCTGGTCAGTTTGACAGTTTTATTGGACCTGGTGAGGGATGTGTCTCTGTTTAGTGTTTTGTGTGTGTTATTTGGTTCTTAGGGGAGTGAGTGAGTATGATATGTGTAAGCGTGTGTATTGCTGTAGGTGTGTGTTATCATTTGGCTCATTAGGGAGTGAGTGAGTATGGTATATATATATATATATATATATATATATATATATATATATATATATATATATATATACATGTTTCATTAAATAATATAGACAAGTTTTGTCTATTTTATGTAAATTCCTTTCATATTGTCTGATAAGTTTAATAACATTATCAATGAAAGACGAAAGAAAATCACCATATTGATACATATTTTTTAATCCTATCTAAGCTTTCGGCTTACATAAGCCATCATCAAAGATGACAATTGCATTATAATATATTAAACAATACACGGACATAATAATAATGATAGTCTGTTTTTGTTTGCATGGAGGATTTCCAAGCAACGACAAAGTCGTGAATACGAGACGCTGGAAGCGAAAATCGCACCGCGGCCTATGACGTCACATCTGACCACGCAAGAGTAAAAACGAGAAGTGTTAATTATGGGAAGCCGTTGGTATTAATCTTATCAGACAATATGAAAAAAAATTACGTAAAATAAATAGACAAAACTTGTCTATATTATTTAATGAAACATCTATCAATGAAAAAATGATGCCTAAATATATATATATATATATATATATATATATATATATATATATATATATAGTCCCTTTTCATGTAAAGTATTCATCATATGTTATATCGATAAGCTTTTTTTTTATCTCTAATGCTAATTACAATGTTATAATTATTACATATTTCGGTGCAACATTTATTAATGAAAGTTGGTAAAATATATTAAGCATCTGATATATATTTGGCAAAAAACCCCCCAAAAAACAAAAACAATAGAAAATTAAATAAAATCCATTCCGTACAAATACGTTTGAGTCTTTTTCTGTGGAAACTCTTTTCATTTACAGTCAGTGTATCACAGACTGTCAATTGCACCGACTAAATGTTATTCTTTGCTATTTTTCATATTATTAGCAGAATTAATTGAATAAATTAATTTCCGGATATAATTTTGTTGGTTTATTTTATCAATGTTGCCAATGTTGTAAGTTACTAATAAATTATATTTCTGACATCTGCAGTCATGAAAGTATACCTGACGCTCGTCGCTTCCTAGTTCATGAAATGATTTGCAATATTACAAATATCGATGTCTTATTAAATCATTTTATATGACCAATGGTAATAAAATAGTTACAATGACTAAATAAGCTTCTTGGTGTGGGAATAGAGCGGAGAACTCGAAAAAGTCTAAGTTTAATGAAATGAAAAACACTAGTGAAGTACAATTTCACGTTGTTATCATAGAAGGAAGAAATAATTAGAAAAAGAGTCTTTTCATTAAGTAATTGTAGATTCTTAAATTATTTTCTTGTTTTTATTTCAATTACTCAGATAAGACAACTATACATAGGAGAGGTGGAGTACGAGATAAAGAGAGAATGTGAGCGTTATTGAGAGTGAGACAGAAGCAGAAAGAGAGAATGCGAATAATTGAGAGAGAGAGAGAGAGAGAGGGAGAGAGAGAGAGAGGGAGAGAGAGCGGAAGTGAATGAGCGAGAGAGAAAGATAAAACGAACTCGTGTGAATAGGGGGAGAGAGAGAGAGAGAGAATGAGTGTGAGCGAGAGAGAGAGAGAGAGCAAGCAATAAAGAGATGAGCCTGCGTATAAGAAAGAGTGAAAGTGAAAGAGAGAGTGAGTGAGTAAGTGAATGAGAGTAAATTAGTAAAGAAAATAATAAAACGTGCAAACACTTATTAATAAGAAGAGAATGATGTCTCGAGCAAAATAAATGTAACTGTGATCAGAAATAATAAGTATATATATATATATATATATATATATATATACGGAATATGTGAGCGAGCGGCGCTATATTGAGTCTGATTTGCAATTTCTTCGTCACCGAGGCCCATTAGTCCAGTGCTTTCTGCATTCTGTTGAGGTTTCTATCAGACTCGATGAATTAATTAAATATATATATATATATATATATATATATATATATATATATATATATATATATATATATATATATAAATAAACAGCACATGTTCACATACGTACGCACTCTATGTAAATGCTGTAAATTTTATTAATCCTAATAACTTACTGTATATGATATTAACTTTAATCCTTTTCTGCTAAGGAATGTTCATCAGGCAAACTGTAAAATTGATATATCTTTATCTCTGTTCGTCTGCTTTTAATTACTCCATTTACATCCCTGGTTCCACAGACCGTTGTTCGAGGCTTAGATAAAGGCCAGCATTTCGAATGTTCATTCTCAAGACAGACAGGCAATCCCAAGTTGGAAGATTGGCGCAACATGTACTTCTTACTTTCATTCTCTCATTTGGTTTTGTAATGAAAAAATATCTTTGATGGAAACTTATATGTAATCAAAACCACACTTAAGCGAAATGATAAATTTGCAAATGAATTGGTTTAAAACAGAACTTAATGAAAATCAAATTCAAGTTTTAATGATTAATGTTACTAAAAAACGTTCAATCTGAGAAGGTTATGTCGTCACAGACAAGTTAATAGAATGGTTAGGATTTGTCGGCTTCTCAAAAATGAATCCATAAAATAGATTGTAAATATCAGTGAAGTGTTTGTAGAGTGACATTTATGATACTTCATTAGAAAAACATTTTAAGACGTTGGGATTTTATTGACGAGAACAGACCTGCGATCAAGTATTGGACACAATATCATCGAATGGCGTCCTATATTGTCTGTCCCGAGAAGATGCAAAACTTGAACACTCATAAAAAGAAGAATATTACTTCAAATCACAACCGGAATAGCTGTGTTCAAGAACTGTCAATTGATTTGGTCATGATATATTTTAATTTATTTTTTTTAAAGAGATGGAAACAATGTTCACATTTTATATCATTGTCGATTCAATAAATCTTAGAATACTGAAATAATCTAAAAAATATTGAATCACTTAAAAATGTGAAAAAATTAAATTCTTTCTTGTACTTTTAACAAAAGAAATAAAAAGAGAAACATGCAAGTAGCAATCAGAAGGATGTGGAATGACACTTAATTTTCACATACCCATTCTCTTGCCAATTAGAAAAATATTAGAAAAATATAGAACTAAATACAACATTCAGGATATATTATCATTCCATAATTTCTATATAGATTCCACCTTTTACATTCCGATTCAATCAGAATTAAATATGTAGATAATCGACCTGAAGATCAGTACTCAACATGATTTTATACTTTGCCAGAATTAAACAAAGCACCTTCGAACATGTAGACATTTCTTATCCGCATACCACAGCAATCCAATTAATTTGGTTTTTATATTTCCTTCATGACAAATTCACCAATTCATGTATTTTCCAATATCAGAAATATAGATAGTAGATATTTTTAAAACAGATCATTTTCAACAATTTGTTTTATTGAATATACAGATATTTATTTCGATATTAAAATATTTGTGAAATTTTGTGGATGTGTATTCAAGCATTTTGCGAAAACTTCAAAAGATTTTATGGCTGAAAGAAATATATGATTAATATTTTATGATTCATGGCTGACATTGTTGTTTTATTTTTTTTTTTTACTAATGTCCATTCCACTCACTTATAATAATATGAGATAGATAGATAGATAGATAGATAGATAGATAGATAGATACAGAGTTAATAGTTTTACTTTCATAAATTTAATATGAGGTAACCAAGAATCTTTGCAGGAAGCAGTTGCTGTAATATCCTCAAATTTCCATCTGATTTTTAAACTAGTACTACTACTACTACTACTACTACTAGTATACAGTAATCGAATCTGACTAGTGTCCTAATCTTAGTTGTTATGGTTACAATGTTTCAGCTTTCTTAATTATCTATCATATTTGGTTAACAGAACCGATCTCTTTATTCAATCTTCGGTGACAGATTATTATCGTTCCAGTATCATTGGTAGGGAGTATAACTAGTATCAGTAAATTCTTCTTAATTTGTCTGTAGGATGCCACTTTTTGCTTTTTTTTTCACTGAACCAGAGTATATGACTTTCACTACGCGATCCATGGATCCATCTGTCAACCACCAACTAATTAGCTTCATTTAACCAATACGTTTAATCTCAATTATTAACAATCGCGAAGTGTAATTTTGGAACCTTAAACACAATACATGTTCTTTCTTAAACAGAGGTTTCCATATGGTATACATTTCTGTTTGGTTTGTCTATATGCACTGTGGTTCTTACAGTCATCTTCGATTCCTACCATCCATACAGTGTGAAGAAATGGATCGCCCATTGTCTACAAACCCAAGAATAGCTAGGAAATAGTGACTCAGACATACCAGCAGAAGAGGATCAGTATAAGATACTTCCTTCATACTAATAACTACGGTGCAGCAAGCAGAACACCGTCTTCTACGAACAGAGATAGAAGATGCAATGGTGGAAAAACTGCCATTGTCTTTAAAAAAGGGTTGCTCTGATCGTTTGAGTCCGAAAAGATTTTTTACATCACAATATCATTAGAAATAAACAAACATTCGTTTGACCATTAAAAGATATATTAAATGCAAAATAATTAATTGTTATAAACTATTTTGTGAATGTAATTGTTATAATAGATAAAAATATATAAGAACAACCTCGGACATAGTTTAGTTTGCAAAACGACAATTTCCACTTCGCTTTTTCAAACTATCGCTTTATAAAACTATTTCTTACTTCCTATATTAATTATTTAATATATTATCAGTTATCATATTATTTAAACAACGCTTATATAAAACTGTAGAAAATACAAAATTCTGCAAATTTTACTTTACATATATGTGCGTATATCTATCTTTATTTACCGAAAAAAGGTAGATGCAAATAAGTATTCACACATTCATTCATTTACACTTATAAGCGGATATAAATATACATATTATATAATTGTATAAAAATAGACGCATAGAGATACGGGATACTTAATCCACAAATACACACATATAAAAATATGTATGTACGAAGGCATGCTGAAAAATCCTCGGCTCGTTCAAGAAGTGATTAAAAAAATCCGATGTTTGTTCATTTGGTCAAATTTTGGTAATGGATGGAGTCGAGAAATTTTAACCACCTCGTCATCTATACATGCGTGCTCATTGACACACATGAGCACTAATATTCGAAAAATCATCGTTGAAAATTGTAATCTGGCAGAAACAGTTGCTTAATGAGAAACGACTGCAAGAACAAAGACTTACGCAGTCATCACAGCTGCATATTCTATCAATTTGCAATTATTAAATGGCTTCAATAACCTTACAAATACAAGTGCAAATATAAAGGATACATCGCAATAACTTTGAATTGTGTTCTGTAATTATGAAGGAAATACGTTGAGAAAGAAAGAGTTCCCGTATCCTTAACGGAATCGGATGTGTTTCCTTAGATGAACACATTCGAGGTGAATCAGCAGTCCATATTAAACATAAATTATAGTCAGAAATTTTATGGCAGGATATTTAAAGGAGTTTGGAATTTTGTCCTAATCGAAAATAAGTTTGACATGCCTTTAAATGTTTTCAAGCCATCGATAGGATTTGATGTCATGAAAAATGCTTCAGAAGTTATAATGGATAACGTATCTGAATTCCTGAAAGTATTTTGACACTTGTAGCATGATAGCCGTCGTGTCCAATATGATTTCGATTTCTTTTTTGTGTAGAACAATTCAAATTATTTTACTCAAGTTGTTGACAGCTTATAGAACTTGTGAATAATTTCAACTCATTCTTTGTCGTGTCTAAATATTTAATGATATGTCAAGTTGACCAAACGTAAAGGAAACATTGACGTTTCACAAATAAATGAATATAATTTTGGCAACAAAATTGGACTCTGCACTTATCGGTTGATAAGTGCAGAGTCCAATTTTCCAGAGATAATATAGAATCTTACATGAAATTATGAATTTAATTCATAATCTCTTCAGATTATTTAAAGAAATGTATTGATTCAACTATCAGTTGCTTTTTTTCTTTATTCAGGATGTGTTCAGATCGTTTTCAAACGAGTAAAACAACGAGTTATGTTCATATCGAAACAATTTTCTTTATTGTCAACTCATAAGATATCAAAGATTATAAAGTTATAATCAGGAAACACTAATAAACCTTTTCCTTTTCTTAATGAAATTTATTCTTAATTTAGTACAACTTATGCAACTTAGACTTTTTACCCTGCCTCTAATTCTCCACTAAATTCCATCAACTTTATCGAAATTCTTACTGAAAAATTACAAAGTATACAAGCTTTAGTATATATAGTTTATATTAGTTTTACATTTCTTTTAATTCCTATTTATTTTAGTATTCTCCTAAAGTGGATTAGGTTTGTTCACATGATTATACATACAGCAGTCCTTAGATCTTTTAATTAAATTCAACCTAGGAGGATCTTTAAAAGGAACCAAATAATTGTAATTTTACGCTTGCAGTCACCGCCATAATTTACTGGTACCAGGTGAAACCGAATTAAACTTGTTTCAATATGACACCGTTTGTAGGTTTCCGGAACAAATGATAGATGCATTCTTATTCTCTGTCTAAGTTCCAACAGGACTGTCGTATTCATTTTTAAAGACTTTCATACGAAATACAACACGCAATTTTGCTTTTATGGGGGTTGACGTTAAGAAATGAAGTAACTTGATGGTTCCCATTCGCCACAAAAGATTACGCGGTTTGTAATAAAGAAACTGAAAAAATTGACGGTAAAATCACTCTTGAAGGTTTTACTGCAGTTTTTGATGACACGGGTATATTTGAGCGTCTGTGATTATGTTCGATGTGAAAATGCGCGTTCAACTACTCATTCTTTAGTGACATTTACTCAGAATAGCTTTGGGTGGTAGAAAACTGAATGTGGAGAAAAAGAAGATTTTTGTGTGTCAATTGTATCTCTGCCTTCAAAAATCGGTATCGAAATTCTGGTATTAGTGAGAAATAAGTAACTATTTAGCTTAGCCTCACACATATCTTGTAGCTAATGAACAATGAACTTACTCCAAAAAAAAAAAAAAACCTAACTATTATTTCATGCCATAATTCCTCATTTATACAAGATACATACGTTCGCATATACAGGGTAAATGTAATTTCGAAAACATGCATTCAATCATGGTTTTTATAATTACTTTTATAATTTAGAACTTTTATGCTAAAACACATTTAACATTTTCGGTATCAGGATATTTTTCTTATTTTATCTCTTTCAAAGCTTTGTATATATTGATTTTCTAAGCGAGGCTTAGATGTGGCACATGACCGAAAATATGGGGAACCCAGTGAGGATCGAACTCACTATTCAGTTGTAACAAAACCAGCTTGCTAACTATTACGCCACGCCGAGGAGCCCAAACTTTGTATATATATATTCAAACATTTAATATGATTTCACAAGCTCTTTAACAGCAAACTTTTTGACTTAAAATAAATGTATTTTTCTTTTTATTATTAGAAATAATGTGGACATTGATTTGTAAATTTCAGTTGTAAAAATTACTCTGAAATGAACAGACAACCGAGAAATGAACAGATAATCGTAAACTGAGTGCGGAGGGGAATTTCGATTCTTTTCAATGTTCACTTTAGGTTTTTTGCCTTTCTCTTTCTCGATACATCTCTTTCAAGAAAAAGGTATTATGAAACGATTATTTGGGCTTATTTCCTATGGAGTTGCCGTTTGATGATTATATATATATATATATATATATATATATATATATATATATATATATATATATATATATATAAAGCCAGTGTCCAATCCTTATAAAACAAAAAACATGTCACATAATGTCTTTGTTGATCTCTAGGAACGTAAACACTATTCATATTTTGCATGCATAATTCCAAAATTTTTCCACATGAAATGCTATAATTTTCATGTTGCCCATCTTAACTATTTATCTAAAGCAAATAAATGCAATTATCACGGATTTTACAAAGAATTTAGTACTTATTTAAATAAAGTAAATATCCACTTTGATGTGTTGGTTGCAAAAATAGCAGAAAGTTAGTTGTAAAATTTTGTTCACGTAAATGACTGTTTAATGTCAATTTTTGTTATCTTTAATTGACATCAATTTCATTATGTCTGCTAACCGGAGAAAATTAAGAAATGCAGCCATTATATAAATATAGGCGTTAAACCAAATTTTGAATAAAAATATTACTTTTTACTTAAAATATACTGAAAAATATATTCATTTGTTGCAGCTGTATTTTATCTATCTCAGTTCAAAGGTCAAGTGGATATTGAACTATTCCCCTTATATATATATATATAAAGCGAGTGTCCAATGATTTGTAAAAAAGCTAGTGTCCAGTGCTTTGTAAAAATATGTGATGAAAACAAGTTTAAATTCATGAGTTTCTCATGAAAAAAATGAAATATGTATGACCAAAAATTCGAGAAAAAAAATGATATTTTGCATGATGATAAAAGTATATTCCTAACATTAAAGTCCCGTCATATGATAGGCAACACTTTAATTCAATAATAGTTCAAAATTTTGTGCTTTCTCTGTAACAATTAACTATCGATATTTTTTTATGGAAGAGCATTGTATAAAGGCAACTAGGATGTTTTTAACAGAATCTTTTATTAAAGTTTTATCATTTGTATTTGGTAAAGTTGGAAATAAAAGAATGTCATAAAATGTGTTTGACTTACGATTGAATTGTTAACTTTGTTATTTCAACAGAAATAATAAGTTGATGTTGAATTTCTCAAGATTGTTTCAAATTCTCAGAACTTATGAGATTGCAACTGGGCTGATATTAAAATACTTAAATTATTTCTATAATCGTAACAGTGATTCAAAAATTTATTGTAATTGTACATTTAGCTATGCGATACGAAAATTTTAGCGTTTTTTTTCCCGAGATTCTAAATTATATAAAATAAATATGTGTGTATCTTTCTTCATTTTCTTAATGCCACTGAACCGACACAATGTTCAAGTGATGAAATAATGATTATGTGTACTTGGTTGTACCTTTAAATAGCTAATCACTGAAAAGATGCCTAAAGGCGGAAGTAATTGTCTGTTCTGAGGCTCTTCAGATTACACACTTCACCTATGTTTACAATTAGAAATTATTTTAATTAATATAAATGATATATCCAATTTAATTGCTTAAAATCTTATTAGTAACAAATTAAGTTATTTTCTCTTCGGATAGATTCGCTTAAGGCGATGAAAATGGGTTTAAAACTCATTTTAATAGAAATATAATTGTAAAAGGTATTTATTACTTTTAAAAATGCCTTCATTTAATTTTATATCTGGTGAAAAATACTGCCTTCATTAATGAAACTTGATATTTAATGAAGGAATTCTAAGAAAGACAAAGTTCAAGGTTGGGTGACAGTTAAATCTTGTTGAAATCTTATTAACACAGAGAAGTGACATTTCTAAATAGTTAACCGGTAGCCTCGTTTATTTGAGGTTCGATCCCAAATATATTCTTCTGTCCTGTCTATTCATTGTCAAGGCCGAAAAAAAAGAGAAATACTTACGGGAGTCGAATATTCTTTTCTTTCAAAATTTCAAGTGAACCTGTCAATAAACTTTTCCACTATTAAATGCATACTAAGATGTTTTAAGTAATGGACAGTTTTGGAGATTTGAAATCAATAAATTTAATTAAATGAATTAAAATTAGAAGTAATATAAATATATATGACTATTATATATAAATAATCGCCGACAATAAGGTAGATTATTTATCTGGGACATATTTTCCTATATCTGAAATCATGCTATTTTTATCAATCACTTTTTATTTATTAAACAAGAAAACTTATTAAACTTATGAGATAATTGTGATTTAATGTTTTATCGTCTATCATAGAATCACATTTTAAAAGTCTGTTTTCAGTTTCATGCACAGAATTTTTATTCTCTAAATTAAATTTATTGATTTCATCCATCCAGAACTGCCAGTTTGTGAAAACACATTGGCATGAATAATGGAGAAGTTTCTTGAAATTATGCAAAGAATGTTTGACTTCCATGAGCAGCTCCTTTTTTCGGCCTTGAGGATGAATAGAGCAGAAAAATGTATTTTGGATCGAATCTCGAATAAACGAGACTACCGATTGACTTCTTACAAGAAATCCATCGATTGGCTAGACGGAATTACAAAAGAATTACAAGTGAATTCGATTCAAATATTCAAAATATACATGTACACTATCTATCTATCTATCTATCTATCTATCTATCTATCTATCTATCTATCTACCAGACACTCTTATTCATTTATAACCAGTAAATAAATAGTATATATGCAAATATTCGCATCTGTGTAAATATCTGTACACAGAGATATATGCATGCATATGCATATATGAGGCACAGTGTGAAGTCCTGATGCTCATTCATATTATA